ATTGCTCCAAGGGGAAAGCTTTTGCCCCAACAGATATCCTCTATCTTAGGTACCTCTGGTTTTCAATTGATTCCACACTATGGCTAATGGCTTGTAGCTTGTAAACTTTGCTGCAATTACATGCTGACTTATGTACATTTGCTCTGTGGGAAGATGATATTCTTAGTGATGGTTTTTGGCCAATAATAATGTGTGTGAGTTGTGTAGTAAATCCCCTGGATCTCACATTTTACAGCAATACTGTTCATTGTGCCCAGAAAAGATGGCTGTCTTGCTGATGGCTGGGGTATCTCCAAAGAATGCCATGCAGCAAATCCTTGCCCAACTGCAAGAGTTACTCCAGATCCTCAGCCAACAGCAACAAGGAATGACTACCATGGCTCAGAGCCAGCAAAGCCCTGTCAAGAGCAACTTTAGTGTGAAGGTCAACCGGTACCATGGCAGAGTCAATGAAAACCTGGGAACTTGGTCTTTCAGATTGAAGAAGCTTTTAAAGCTAAAGGAATTGCTCCAGAAAGCAGGTAGCATTATGCAGCTTCTTACCTGGCAGATGCAGCTTTACAGTGGTACCACAACAAGATCAGGCCAGCCACTATGATGGGATGCTCTACAATCTCTACCTGGGATGAGTTTGTGTTGGAAATTCAGGATGCTTTTGAACCTCCACATCAGCAGACACTACTAAGAAGGACATCAAAGACACTCAGACAGAAAGGAATGGTTCAAGAACACATCTATGAGTACAGATGTTTTCTTGGACAAATTGAAAGAATAGACCCCCTGGATCAAGTTGAATACTTCATTGATGGGTTGAAACAAAGAACTTGCAAAGAAGTGAATTATCAAAGACCTCAGACTATTGAAGAAGCCATCAAGATTGCCATTGACTATGACTCAGCTGTGTTTGGAGTTGGGAAGCCTACAGTGACTAATCAGAAAGTCTACAATCATTATGAAAGAAGACAGTCAGAAGCAGTACCAATGGAAATAGACACTATGCAGAAGAATCCTACCTCAGAAGAATGTAAGAAGAAAGGACTTTGCTTCAATTGCCACCAGCAAGGACATATTGCAAAGTACTGCCCTCAGAGAAGAAATGGACACCAGCCATCAAGAACCTTTAGCCATATTGAGGCCATGGAGCGTAGTAACATTGAGGATGAACTTGAAGAAGACTCAGAACTCACCTTCCACATGACAGAAGAATACCTATCCCAGTTGACCTCAAACTCAGGAAAGCTATTATACTTTAATGGAGTATTCAATGGAGTACCTGCCAAGATCATGAATGACTCAGGAGCATTGCATGAGTACATGTCAGAGCAGTTTGCCTTGAGAGCTGGAATCAACTTGGAACCTATCAAATCAACTTCAGTCTCCACAGCTGATGGGAACTCTCACATAATCAACCGTATTACCCAGCCAGTAAGAATGAAGATCAATGACTATGAAGAAGACCTACAGGCTTATACGTTTGGGAACTGCAAGTTTAACCTTGTACTTGGAAAAACCTGGCTATTTTGTTGTAATCCATCAATCAACTGGAGAACCCATGCTACTCAGATCCAAAGGGACAACAAGACCTATGAGCTATTACCTGCCAGGCTGGATTTCAACTTGGTCAATTCCAGTAGGTGTGAGACAAGTGAGCTTAGCAAGACCCAGTTCTGTAGAGCACTTAGAAAAGGTACTCAGATGCTCCTCATGGCGGTATTACAGGAGGATTCCTCTGCCACAGCACCCCAGCAGGTCCAGACTCTCTTGAAAAAATATTCAGATGTGTTTCCAGATGAGCTTGTAAGCCTACCACCAGTCAGACACGTGGATCATGCCATTGACACAGTAGATAGCCCTCCAGTGAGCAAGACACCTTACAGAATGAGTTCATTGGAATTGGAGGAAATGAAGAGACAAATTGATCAGCGATTGGAGCAAGGATACATCAGGCCCAACAAGTCACCCTGGGGAGCACCAGTGCTTTTTGTGAAAAAGAAGGATGGAACACTTAGGATGTGCATTGACTACAGAGCCCTGAACTCAGTTACCATCAAGAATAAGTACCCCATACCTTGAATTGATGAGCTTTTGGACCAACTCAATGGAGCCACCATATTCAGCAAGATTGACTTCATGATAGGATACAACCAGATTAGGGTGAAGCCAGAAGACATCCCTAAGACAGCATTCAGGACCAGATACAGACATTACAAATACTCAGTCATGAGTTTTGGCCTCACCAATGCCCCTGCAACTTTCATGACCCTGATGCAGACATTCTTCCAGGAGTACTTAGACAGGTTTGTCATAATCTACCTAGATGATATACTGATATACAGCAAGACAGAAGAGGATCACTTGGGGCACATTGAAAAGGTCTTGAAGAAGCTAAGAGAGAACAAGCTTTATGGCCAGCTACCCAAGTGTTAATTCTTCAAGGAACACATTGAATATCTGGGACACATAGTGACTAGCACAGGAGTAACCTTAGATCCCAAGAAGGTGGAAGTAATCAAGAATCTGTAGCAGCCCCATAGCATATCAGAGCTCATATCATTCCTTGGAATGGTTTCCTATTATTGGAGATTTGTCAAGTTGTTTACAAGTATTGCAGCCCCTTAAACTGATATCATCAAGAAAGCCAATACCAACAAGTGGGACATAGCTTGTGAGACTTCCTTCCAGACACTCAAGAATGAACTTGCTAAGCTGCCAAGCTTAAGAATACCTGACTTCAGAAAAGAGTTCACTCTGTGCACAGATGCTTCAGATTATGCAATTGGTGGAGTGCTGAGCCAAGAACATGAGGGAAAGGTCAACCCTGTTGCCTTTGAATCCAAGAAACTGAACTCAGCAGAACAAAACTATCCAGTCTATGAGAAGGAGATGCTTGCTATAATACACTGTTTGAAGACATGGAGATGTTATATTGGAGGAGTCAAATGCACTGTGAAGACCAATCACACCTCCCTCAAGTATATATTTACTCCAAAGCTACTCTCTAGAAGAATGACAAGATGGAGTGAATACATTCAGCAATTTGACCTGGAGATTGTCTACTGCCCTGAAAAAAACAACACAGTTGCTGATGCCTTATCAAGATTAGATCAAGTTGCACAACTCAACTTGGTGCATGAATCAGATTGGCCTAGCCTATTACCAGAGTACTTGGAGGACCAAGCCATTCCTAATGAGGTGGATGTAGATATCAAGTAGATAATCCGTGATGAAGCCAGCAAATTTGTAGTACAGGATGAAACACTCTACCAAATTGTTGATGGAAGCCCTATTGCCTATTACCCTTATGTTTCTTGCCTGGATTTAATACATAAGCTACACAATGGATATGGATATCTTGGAATTGAAGGAACCTATAGTCTTGTGAAAGCCAGAGCATGGTGGCCCAAAATGAAACAAGAAATTGAGAAGCTAGTGAAAAGAGGCCCAAATTGCCAAATCAACCAAAGCCAATCACAGAGAATTACAAAACTCTTTCCCTTGGAGCCTGTAAGACCATTTGAAAGATGGGGAATTGACTTTATTGGAAGACTGCCAACTACCAGGAAATGCAACCGTTGGATCCTTGTAGCAATTGACCATGCTACTAAATGGCCAGCTGCTAAAGCTGTACCAGTAGCCAGTGAACAAGAAGTTGCAAGTTTAATTTACCATGAAATACTGATGAAGTTTGGATGCACTGTGGAGATCTTATCTGATAGAGGAGCAAACGTTATGGCAATGACATTAGAGGCTTACCAGGAAATGCAGCAGATCAGACACTTGAAAACATCAGCATATCACCCCAGAACTAATGGAGTCACTGAGTGGTTTAATGGATTATTTGGAAAAATGCTGATCAAGTATGCAAATGGAGTTGTCAGTAGATGGGATAAGTATATAAACCAAGCACTCTTTGCATGCCAAGTCAGTAGATGGGATGGGTATATAGACCAAGCACTCTTTGCCGGCAGAGTAAGAGTGCACAACACTACCCAACAATCACCATTTTACTTAGTGTATGGATGTGAACCAAGGATTCCAGGAGATCTCACACAACCAAAGCTTACAGACACCTCAGAAGATGAACTCAGTCAGCCCAGTAGACACCAGCAATTGGAACAAAGACAACAAGAGGCACAGGCCAAAGTATCTCAAAGGGCAGAAAGGATGAAGCAGAGATTTGATAAGACTATAGCACCAGAAGCATTGACAGTTGGAAACTTTGTATTGCTAAGAAACAACAGTTGGAAGAAGTTTGAGCCACAATGGACAGGACCATCCAAGATCATCAGAGAATGTCCATTTGCAACTTACCAACTAGTGGATAAACAAGGGAATATCCAGGAAGATTTAGTTCATAGAGACAGACTCAAGCTTGCAAGAGTTGCTGACAATACTGAGCCATCAAGATATTGGCATCAAAAGAAAAGAGATTTAGGAGAACCCTCTCAACTTTAGTGGGGGAGAATATTATGATCTGCTGCTTGAATGTTTAAGTTAGATCAGTTTTTAGTAAAATAAATTAGTTATATATTTAGGTTATCAGTATGTCAGTATTATCTATCATATCAGTAGCATTAGTCAGTATAGTGGTGGTGATGCACCCCAAAGCAAGTGTAAGTTAATGGTAGACAAACTCTCTTCCAAAGAGTCAGTACAAGTTTGAATCTTGTCACTTGCACATGACCCCCCACAGGGGAGGACCCCCTTATTGGCCAGGCTCTTACTGTTATCACCCTTGCCCCTTTGGGGGGGGGTTCATGATGGCCACCCTGCCCCCGCTTTGCAAGCACGGTAGCAAAGCGGGAGATCCCCCCCCTTTTATTCCGGCGGGGTGGGGGGGAAGGGGAGCAGGCCAACCAAATCCTAACAAATGGGGGGGGATCCACCAAAGCAATTTGGCCCCCCAATGGGGGAAGCATAGTGGGAGAGGGGAAGGGGTGGGATCACCCTATTGTGGGGGGAGTAAAGGGGGGGGGAGGGCTTCCCCGTAAGGAAGCGGCGCCTACTTGGAGAAATTGGTAAACTCAATCCTTTTAAACAGGGTAGCTTTTTAAGCTTGAGGGTTCAAGTCCCTCAGTAGGCAGCCTTTTGATTTATTCTGGGGGGGGAGGTTGACCAAAGCCCCCCTGTGCACCCCCCCCCAAAGTATGCTTGTGAGCAAGAGAAATCCAGCATACTTTGGTAGAGCTTTCCTAATGTGGATTAGTTGCTTGTTGCACCCAACACAACTTTGCACTACTTGCCTAATTACCCACACATTGGGGCTGCTTAGCTGAATGTCTTTGGCAAGCTTTCTGGTATATAGCCAATATATTCCTTTGCCCTGTGGGATTCTAGTACCCCTTGCACGTGCACTATGGCTCTTGCTTGTGTGTATTCTGTATTGAATGGTGTAGAATTTGGCTTGTCACTAAGAGAAACCCAGCATACTTTGGTAGAGGTTTCCTAATGTAGATTAATTGCTTGTTGCACCCAACACAACTTTGCACTACTTGCCAAATTACCCACACATTGGGGCTGCTTAGCTGAAAGTCTTCAGCAAGCTTTCTGGTATTTAGCCAATATATTCCTTCTCCCTGTGGGATTCTAGTCCCCCCTTGCATGTGCACTCTGGCTCTTGTTTGTGTGTATTCTGTATTGAATGGTGTAGAATTTGGCTTGTGACTAAGAGAAACCCAGCACACTTTGGTAGAGCTTTCCTAATGTAGATTAGTTGCTTGTTGCACCCAACGCAACTTTGCACTACTTGCCTAATTACCCACACATTGGGGCTGCTTAGCTCCTTAACTCAACAGCATAGGTATCTCCATGTGCTCATCTGTTTTCAGCACTTCAAACTCTTCCTGCCTGTCTTCCATTCACCAACTCATCACATCTATCACATACTTGAAGGTTATATTCTTTATGAGATTGGAATATGGTAGTACCTGCATCTTGAACTGTCTTCCTATCTCCCCACACATCTGCTCCATTAGAAACTCCTAAAAGATGAAGCAAGGCTCAATATTCTCCAGGCACCAAGCAAGTTGGAGTGGAGAATGGATACAGTAGCAGCAGAGATCTACACATTCAGCTTTATGTTTGTAGTATAGCCGCTCAAATCCTGTCACACACTCCTCATACAACAACTGTAGATGAGAGATCTATGCTTTCAGCTTTATGTTTGTAGTGTAGCCACCCAAATCCTGTTACAAACTCCTTGCACAACAGCTGTAGATGCATCAAGTAGGCATTGGTGATCTGCTTCTGCATAAATATTCCTACATATTCACATATGACTCCCAATGCATCCAATGTACTCTTGGTAGGGACAGCTTTAGAACACTACTTGAATAAATACAAATCCAGTTCATCCAGTCTTTGCATTTGTATTGTTCCATATGCATAAGAATACTAATTGGAGCCCAACCAAAATACTTAGGGTAGTGCATACTCTGTAACATCTTGCCAATTCTGTTCAATGTCTCCAGTATCTTGAAGGGCTCATTCACCTTGAAATGCCCCATGTACAGCTTTGTCATCAGTTTAGGGACACTGCTGAAAAGCAAATGCATTGCTCACAGTGGAAAGCTTTTGCTTTAACAGACACCCTCTATGTTGAGTATATCTGGCTTCTAACTGATTCCATATTCCAGCCAATGGCTTATAGCTTGCCAACTTTGCTGCAATTGCATGCTGAATTCTGTACATTCTCTCTGTGGGAGGATGATGTACTTAGTGTCAATGCTTGGGTAAAAATGTGTGTGTGAGTTAAATCCGCTAGATCTCACACATTTGACAGCAATACCATCCATTGTGCACTGAAAAGCCAGCTATTTTGCTGATGGCTGGGGTATCTACAATGCAGACAATAAAAAATGCATTGACATGATGGTAACTTACTATTATCCTGCTGGAAAGCATACAAAAATCATCTGGCAATGAATACAGGTAGCTACCCAGGTTGTACAGTGCTTTAGGCCCAGATACTACTGTGACCACCATCTGATTTTTATGCTGATACTGTAAGATAGGCAGCAGATTCAGGTTAATGAGAATCAGTGGGCAGCAGGAATTGCTGGTACGGTGCTTGTTTAATGAGAAATCCATCAAGTGCTAAGGCAAAGGCATGGTAATAAATACCTCCAGTGCATCCATTGCTTCTTAGCTGTTTGAAATATTTGCCATCAAATGTATTGGATGTGTTTGCACTTGATTGATACTTAGTTCTGTAGCTCATAGCTGTGCAATATTAGTTGGACTAAATGTGCATCTTTAAATCAGCTTCTTCAGATGGGGTACTTCTGGAATATATCCGCAGTGTGAACAATGTTTGCCCTCAATGGTGGTGAATTCCTGACAATTTGGACATGTTGCAATGGTGGCATATCAGATGGGAATGCCATCCAACTATTTACACATGCAGGAATCATGACAATCTCAAGGTCATATGTTGCCCGCTGCATTATAGTTGTCCACTTGTACCATGTATGTGACAAGTTGCACCCTAGAATGATTTTGGCAAGAGGTAGTTATAGATCCTCAGAGCCCCCATTACTGATAATAGTGGAAATATGCCACTTCTCTAGCCACAACATTACATCTCTCACCAGTAGAGGGATTACTGGTCTCACTTGGCTCCATAGAGTATACTTGGCATTTGTTTTAACAGGTGCTGTCTCATTGCATGTTGGGATTTGATCGGTGTGTTTGGGTAAGCATACCTCCCACAGACAAGTTTATTCATATAGCTATTATGTTGTACTAATTCATATTTTATCTTATTGGTATTATTCCATTGTTCTTTTGCCAATATTATGAGTATCATCCCCATATGATGTTTCCCCTGATTAGTTATTAGCATTTGTTATACTATATGTTATTCAGCTTTGTGATTTCTATATATATCCACATTAGGTAAGTACCCGCATTAATACCCATGACACATGACTTAAGTCTGTGTTACCAGCCCCACCATTTAGATGCCATATACGGTATCTCTATGTTGCACAGGTTTCAGGCTTCTGATCCCTGATTGGTTAGATGTACTTAGGGTAAGCAAGATAATGATAGTACAGTAGTGAATGATGAGTGGTCCAATGTGACTTTTGTGGCAAAGCACTGGCATTTATCCTTTTACTACTTCCTATACTGTGTTATGATCTGCCGCTTGAATGTTTAAGTTAGATCAGTTTTTAGTCAAATCAATTAGTATATGTTTAGGTTATCAGTATATCAGTAATATCTATGAAATCAATAGCATTAGTCAGCAAATGAATCAGCAGATCCTTATCAGACAGAAATGGATATATTAAGTAGGATCTTATTGGGTGATTATGATGCAATCAAATGAGTCATCAGCCGCAACCTACATTAGGAAATACAATTAGTCAGCAATTGATCTGGCAAAATGTATATAAGGAGCTGCTGGAACCTCAATAAAAATCAATTCAAGTTTAGTGAATACAATACTAGCTAAACTCCCTATTCCTCTACAATTCTTATACCAAGACTTGTAACAACTGAATATGTGCTTCATAGCTGAGAGGCTTGCTGCAATAGTTGCATGGCCTTTTTCTCTTCACTTATGGGATTGAATCAAAGTAGTCTTGTCCATTGGGCAAACAGTTTGACTGTCAACAATGTAATGCTGTTTATTACTTTCTGGTCAATACCTATGTTAACTTAACACAGTCTTGTATTTTGAGACATTACACCTTCATGAATGTAAGATTCAATGATGACCAACCATTGTAAGCATTATAAATAAAGTTGTGGCACCACATAGCCACATATGTATAACACTATTTCCCCTTTGGCTTGACTCACTTCCATATATATGCCGGCAAAAAATAAAGCAATGTTGTCTGGTTCCCAACAAGACCCTGCTTCTGACAGCAGCAGAGGAACAGTTGGACAACAGCATGCTTTGACATTCAGTGCAACAAGTGGGGCTACATCCAAAAAAGGCCATGTCAAAAGTGTGCCCACTCAAGGTAATCATGCAGACTCCTCTGTCTCTCAGTCAAGTAGGTAATTGAGAACCTCTGCAGAGCTGCAAGCTGACAATTACGCTCAGGCAGATGAGAGTGTAGCAAGTGCAGTATCTTCAGTTGAGGAATAGCAAGTGGCTGTCACAATGTCACCACCATCCATATTAGCAAGTATGTTGTCAGCTCATACCAAAGCATTAATGAAGCAATCAGGTGCAGTGGTTGATAGGATAGATACAATGGCCCAGGGAAATCAGGAAAAAGTCCAGAAGCAGGATGAGCAGATAATATGTGTAAAACAAGTAATCTCCCAGTTAGAGAAAGCAGTATCTTTGCTGCAAAGAAGGTACCCAAGTAGCTCAATGTTGCAGCCAAGAGTTGAGCCATTTCCCAATGTAACTGCAGAGAAACACTGTACAGTCTTTGAAGCACAACAACAGTGCCCCAAGATAAAGCCCACAGTAAAACCTATTACAACATAGGAGGAAAAAATGTAGTGCTTAAACCAAAGCCTATGTTGCAATTTAAGAAGTGATTTGGATATAAGGAGCTTAACAAGAGATAGTGATAATTGTTGAACTGTTGTTTATTCATAAAGAAGCTAGGAACTTATACCTTTGTAGAAGTAATACAGCTGTAACACTAAGTAGGGAGGGTTTCTCAATATTCAGGAGCATTCTGCAACAGTTTCAGGGTTAGTAATTTCTTGATCCCAATTTCTCTCCAAGGATCTCAAGCTGAGGCCTAGCTAGTGGTTTTGTCAATATGTCTGCCACCATTTTGTCAGTTGAGCAGTAAACTAACTCCACTAAGTTATTTTCTACAGCTTCCCTTACAAAGTGGTGTTGTGTATCTATATGCTTAGTTCTGGCATGATTTGTAGGATTTCTGGCTAAGGAAATACAACTCAGATAATCCTTGTAAATACATGTTAATTCATCCAAGTTAAAACTTAAGTCTTTGAACAATTTTTGTAGCCAGATGGCTTCCTTAGTTGCTTGACATGCAGCCATATATTCAGCTTCAGTTGTAGATAGGGCCACAGTTGGTTGTTTCTTGCACTTTCAAGTAATAGCTGCAACAGTATAGAAAAATACATACCCTGTGGTGG